TAACCACCTGCAAGATGCTTTTATGCAGTCTGATGTCTGTTTTTAAAGTTAACTCCTTCTGTATCTCTTTTACAGAATGTCGTAAAAAAGACATTGTGTAAATGTCTTTTTTACAATGTCTCTTACATTGTCATAAAAGAGACATTGTGTTCTCCTTCTAATTTATTTTATTATAATAGAGGGAGCAGCCCTATGGCTCCTTGTCAACATCTGAGTGCCACAGGATATTTTGACTACCCATCTCTGAAGCTGGAGATAGCACTCCAGCCTCAGAGCTAGGAATCAAGAGTTCCTACTTCCCTCCCCTCCCCATCCCCCTTTGTGCAGCAAAGACCATGTTGGCTGCCTCTCCAAGGTCAGGGATGCAACCTCAGGGAGAAAAGGGGCACTTTGGTAGGACAAGAGGGAAAGAGACTGGTAAGGCTTAGAAACAGGCAATCGTGAGGATTTTCAAGTCTTCTTTCCTCCCTCTCTGAAATGCTTTTAGCTAGACAGACTAAAAGCACATCATGCAAAAATGCAGGGTATAAAATCAGGGAGGCAAAGATCACCTCTGCTAGTCTCCTGGCTTAGATAGAATGGTAGTAAGAATTTGAATGTGGTTATTAGAAGCATCAAGGATGCAGCCCACAAAACTGTGCCCTTAAAGTCTTTGTAAGGCACTGTGGGAACCTGTGGAACAACAGCACAAATCAAATATTTTTAGAGCTATAAATATTTTGTTTCATAAAAGATTTTTTCATACTTAAAAGTAAAGGCCATTGTTTCAGCAAGAATCACATCAGTATGGTTAAGCATTGATTAGGGCCAATACAGACATTAACTTTAGCCTTTTCCGCCCTTCCTTTAATCATTGTTATGGGGTCAAGATCACATTTTCCTTCCCAGATCTTTCTTTTTTATGAGAGATGTCCCCATAAGCAGTTCTTCCTGGCATTAATCCCTGGCTATATGGTTAGATCAGAATCATGGTCTAAAGTGGCATTTAAAAGTAATAGTATCCTGTTTCTCATGCTGATGAAGAAAAACCCTGTGCATTTAAGTTTGATTCCCTTCCACGCCCAGAATATGTTGTATTACACTACAATTACAAACCTTCATAATGGAAATAGTAAAGAAACTAATGGCATTAAATTCTATACTATATAAATCAGAATGACAAGGTTCATCAGGTTTTTTTTAAATATTGAGACAAGTCAGTACACGTTAGAAACAGCAAGTATAGTCTTGTCATTTATTGCTGGCATTCCTTACGCTTCAAAGAGCAGAGTTACAAGAATGACTGACTACAGGCCAAAACAGATAAGACATGAGAGCCCATGCTCTGAATGTCTATACAGATGATTTAGATTAGTTAAATCTTTGTGGGAGGAGAATTAATCCTATTAAAAATCATTGACCCAACTTGGCATCACTCCATATAGTTTTAAGTTAATATTGAGATCTAGTCATAGATCTCCAGGATCTCCTCCACTCCCATTCCCCAATGTGTAAGAAATTATAATTTTCATGAGCAGAACTAGTTTGTCACAGTAAGCCAGCAGTAAGCCAGTTTGTCATGAACAAGATGGCAATCCTCTATTACTCCAAAGAAGTTTTATATGTTATCAGAATGGAATAAGCAGTAGTATCAAATCAACTTTATTTTATATAAAGTTATCTTTAGAGTACATTATCTTCAAAAGGTTTCCAAATCAGCCTTTTACTCAATTATATACAACATTTACTCATTAATTTATTACTGATAATCCAGATTACGTTACTTTATTTCACCTGTGGCTCCTACTCGTTCTTGTCAATTGATAATCTATGCTGAACTACAATCTGAACCTAGTCAACATGTACCTTCCTTCTGGAGACTTCTTTCATGGATACCCACAGCACCATGAAATCGTTAATTTCCTGAGAGTCAATGCCTTGAGGATGCTGACAGGATGAAATGAACATTTTCATACTTCTATTATATTTATCTAATTAGTTATATTGCTGCTTTCCTACAAAAATGCCATTCAAAGTAGTTTGTGGGCATGAAAACCAATTAAAGTAAAATATTTAACAATTACAAAATAATAATAATAGTAGTGACAATAGCAATAATTGGCACCAATGGACCCACTTGCAGGCCAAAGGCCTTGACTAAGGTGGTCTTTGTCTGCCAGCAGAAGTATAGCAGAGAGGGAGCAAACCTAGTCTCATTTGGGAGTTCCACCACCTTCTCTTTGTTTACCACCAAATGCACTTCTGAAGGTAGTGGTCTCAAAAGAGGGACCTAACCAGTTCATCATAAAAAAGGGAAATATTCATAATCAGCACTTTGAAATCTGCCTGGAAAGAAACCAGTAGCCAGTGAGACTGTTGTAATAAAGGAATCACAAGCAGCCTGTAATCAGCCATGGTCAATTGCTGCATTCTGAACCACATGAACGTTCTGAGCAGTTGTCAAAGGCAACCCAAAATAGAGTGTGTTTCAGGAGTCCAAATAGAATGCAGCTAAGGCATATGTGACCATGGCTAGATCAGAAATATTTAGGAATATGTGCAGTTGGTGTTCTAGAACCAGCTGTGCAGACACACTCTTGGTCATTGCTGAGATCTAGGGTCAGGGCTGAGAACTGGAATTGTTTTTGTGTACACCAGAGCTGGTGTGCATGCATATCTCTGTGTATGAAAAGAGCCTACTTTTTAGACTAGCACTAATGGAAAGTAACAGAAGGAAGAACTGGACTATCTGATATCCCTGTTACCCACCTCAGAGACATACTGTCAAATTTAATACTGGGGAATCCCACCAGGTAAACTTACTGAAAGAACAGCTGAAACAAATGCAAAGCACCTAACAGGTTTGGAGCAGGCAGTTCTGTTAGTAAAAGAGAAGGTAATACTTCTTTTACCAGCAATAGAAAGCAGGAATGCTTCCCCACTCTTTCCCAGTTGTTACACAGAGACAAGGAGTATAGGAAAAGCTGCTTAACCAAAAGTTCCTAGTCTTGTATCCTTCACAACCTTCCAGGAGTACATTCAGTGTTGCCAAGAAGTTTATTTTTTAAACTTTGGAGCTCTCTCTTTCTCATGCCTCCTTTTCTTTGTCTTTTTCAAGTTATTTATTGATACATTGCTAGAGGCAATGGGTCAGGCTGCCATTAGGGAAACAGACACAGTGTGCAAATAGTCATGTACCATTCTGCCATAAGCTAGCATACCCACATTTTAAAGAGAAAAGGAATCTCAGAACAACAAAAGACAGATTCTTTCTTTTTGTTGCCAATATAGTATCAAAAGCAAAAGAAAATTCCAAATGATTCAGAAGAATCTAAGCTTTAGAAGAACTGTTGCATAATTCAGGAAAGGTTTTCAGCCTTATGCTTCAATTCCCAAATCATTTATTTCAGAGTAATCCCAGGGATGTTAATAGGACAACAGTGAAGTATAGACACACTGTGAATGTCTTGGAATGACACTTATTTTTCATGAGTTCTCTTTTAATATTAACTTGGCTTTACTGTTATTTGTAAATCAGGGCAATTATATACCTGTCTACTTATATGTAAGCTGTACTAGAGGTATTTGCGAAAGGATGTTCTGTTGCTAAACATTAAATTCAAGTCTCTATTGGCTGCATGGGATGGACTTATGTTCATGTACATGACATCCTTTTCTTTCCTTATATTCTTATCATAGGAAATTTATCACCCAAATAACAGAACAGACTAAGATAAATGTTTTAATGTCCTACTGATGTTCCTGTTTTCTAGCAACACTTCTTACTCTTTTTAAAAGTGTAATTCAATTGTCCATTATTAGTGTAGTTGCATCATTCCCATTCCAATCTCTTTCTTATATTTATCAAATCAGGAGTGTGTTGGCACAGCCGGCACACTCCCTTACTTTTTATACAAATTTTGCCCCTTTTCCATGGTTTGATTAACTTATGTCTAACATTAACCATGAGCATCAATGCAAAACTAGCATATTGTACATATACTTCAAAACCTAGTTTCCAATTCCAGTTGGAAATTTCAGAATAAATAGTAATCTAATATCTAACATATATAAGCAGTTTCCTAAAATATCTGCAAAATCAATGGTAAGGTATTAGAGGTATTTGCTGCTGTAGAAATATCAGCTCATTTAGAATCAGACAAGCCAAGAAACAGTGATATGACAGGTAATAATATTTTGAGCTGTATCTACTTGAAACTAGAAGAGTCAAATAGATGTCTTGATAAGAACTTTGGGATAGCTATTACTGGTAAAGAGACTTTTCAGTTACCCTCAGATTCCTGTTAATGTGCATTTGCTGCCTGACACCAGTTAATTATCTATCTGTTGTGGAATGAGAAGCAATGAGTACTAATCACTATCGTGTCCAAAAAGTTTAAGATATTAGCGTAACCGGTAAAACAGCACAAAGTGTAGATTCAAATGCGTTTTCTTCTTCTTCAGAGTAATTAAAAATTTAAGAGATAGTCTGTTCATTATTCTTTCCCACCCTAACAAAAAACACACAAAAACATGCAGTTTCTGTTAACACTAACAATTCTCATGGATGTTTGGATGATATATCTAAAGGCTTATGGGTGGGATACAGCTAAATACAGCTCCCTGTTATTTATGTAAAAAGAAGCAAATATTTTTGCATAAAAACTATTTCTCATGTGACCTATTGTATCACCACCCCATTCCAGGAAAAAATGTCCAATTATAAATATTGGGTTGGATCCAGACTTACGTAAGCCCACTGAAATCAGCATGACTTAAGTTAGTCATGACTTGTCGCACTTACTGCAGTGGGCCTACTCAATGCATGACTAAGTCTGGTTCCACTCCCAAATTTTAGGTTATCAATCCAAAGTTAGTTATCTGTTTCCTACTGTCTAATTCTTTTCGGTAGTCAAATCTGAGACCCTGACAACACATCTCAACATAGTCTTATTAACAACAATGATTGACACATACACCTCATACAAAAGCAATACAGAACATAAGCTCATTGCAAGTACCTGTTTCATATCCCACACAGATGCTTGGTTTGATGGAGTCCTCTATTCTGGCCTCCCATGGAGAACTTTTAAAAGATAACTGACACTTTGATGAGGAATCTAGTAGTCCCACAACATGACGACCAATTGTTTCTTCAACAGCTACAGTTGTCTTCAGAACCTCTAAGAGAATCTTCATCAATCTGGTATTAGCTTTCTGCAAGGCATGTCTGTGTACAGAAAGTGGAAGAAAAGTAATTAAAACATTGTCCTCTATCATTTCTTGAATTTGTGCAAACAGTGAGGCTTTTGTACAAAGAAAGGACGGATAGTTTACTCAATTGGAACAAGATGTTTTGAAGAATCCAGTTATAAGGTTTGATGTGCAACTTACAACTTAAGAGCTACTGATATACAGAAATGAAAACTGTCTCCCAGAACTGTAATAATTGTATCATGCATTAAAAGGATGAATATATAGAATCTTTAATCAAGCTGTACAGTCTTTCTTTTAGTGGCAAATACTGCGCCATATCAAGAACTTTCTTTCCTCTGAGAGTTCACGCAAAAGGAAAGGAAAGGAAAGGAAAGGAAAGGAAAGGAAAGGAAAGGAAAGGGCACCATCTACTCTCAATAATACTGGCTGACAGTTAAGGGAATATCAAAGCTAAGAGACTCCCCCATGCTATATAGCAATTATATAGTATGATGCGTTTCCCAAAATATATTGAGAAGTGCATGGACTACTAACTTACTGAATAATTTCTCTCATACCAAATAGTGGGGCTCTTTGTAGATCATGACAACCCACCATTGATTTATTTACCCAATGGGGTTGTTACACAGTGCTATTTCTCTTAGTATCCAGTTTACTATGGATAAAGCAAGCCATGGTTTATTTGAGGGTTGCCTAATCTTTAACAAGACCTTAACCTTCACAACCTGGGTTCAGATAATACAACAACCCAGAATAGTTCACTAAACCTATAGCAAGACGATTCTATTTGAAAAGATCTTTGTAAATAGAAATGGATAATTTGAATCAAGTGATTTGAATGGATAAAAGTTGGGGGTATGCTGTGAGGAAAATTTTGACTATGTACAGAGAAGTATAATGGTGTAAAAAAAATCCTTATGTGTTGTCTGATCCTATACATGTTGTCTGAGAAGTAATTACTACTGAGTTAAGAATGAGCAGTTAAGTGTCCATGTTTGCTGATGACACCAAATTAGTCAGGATCACTAAATCAAATAGGGGATGTGAGAAAGAGATCTCTTCCAACTGGGAGAATGAGCATGGCAAACAAAGTTCAATGTAAGCAAGTTTAAAGTGATGCACATCAGGGCAAAAAATCTCAAATTCAAGTATAAATTGATGGGATCTGAGCCAGTGGAAACTGACCAAGAAAGAGACACAGTGAAATGGTTACCTTTCCTTCTGATACAAAAGTATTTAAGTATCATTTTTGTATTACAAATATTAATACTCAGCCATGTAAAAAATTCTGCATAAGTTAGTAATAGCAACACTTCAGCTCCTATTTTGTTGCATGTCATTTGTTTTGGTGGCCACCAGTTAAGAAGGAAAGCTAAGCAGAGGGATGGATGGACGGACTGACGGATAGACAGACAGTCAGTCAGTCAGACAGGAGCTCAAAGGATTATGGGAAGTCACAAGAACTGGAGAATGCTATCTTAACTCAGTTTTTAAAGTGACTGTTTACCTGGGAAAATAATGGGATGAAGACTTAAAAGAAATTGCTATAAAATGCAACAAAATGTAGAATATATTTCTTTTTAATGTAATATCTCACTAGCTAGAGTTTATAACAAATTATTGTTATAAAAAGTAATCCAGTAAACAAAGGCATAACACGAAGACGTAATAATAATTGTGTAGATATGGACATTTGGTACCACACATAATGGCACAATAGCTATTTACTTAATTCAGTTATTAAACAGTTGTACTATTAGACTGCTTGATTACCCAATGTAAAATTACTCAAAGTAAAAAGTGGAATGAATCCAATTCAGTCAAACCATCTGAGTTGGAAGTAGCCTCAGAACTTTAGATTTTAAATTGATTCCTACCAATATCTGAATGCATCATATACAATGGCCTGAGGTGATGCAAGTTTAAAAAGCTGAAGACATTGCTTCCTCTTGATTAGAGGAAGAAAAGTTATCAGGCTAATTTAAAAAAATATTCTGGCCTTCTTCATAACATACCTTTCTTTTGAAAGGATGTCCAGAGAAGCTTCTTCATGCTTTCCTCCATCTTCACCTTCTAATGTATGTTCTTTGGATTCAGTTTGACTTATATTTTCATCCTGAGTAAGTTTGGGCAATGGTAGAGAGGAAAAGAGAGACAAAAATCCAGTCATATTGGAATAAGCATACTGTTCTGATTTACAGTCATGTTCTAAAGTGAAAAAACATAATATAAGTAATAATTAACTATTTTGTTATCAGACATATAAAGCTGCAGGTTGAAATAGATTAGTTATAGCCTATAAAAGTCAAGTTTGCTGTGTTAAGTAAACAGCTTCTTGGTTCCCTGTTGGATGTTACTATAGTAACATTGAAATTAGAGTTTGCTTTCAACATAATACCAGGTATTTAAGCTCCTCCTTCCTATTACATCAGTGCCCATTTAATTACATCAAACACCCAATAGGAAAATGTCCTGTGCTGAAAGGAGCAACAATAGCAAAGCAACTGTATTTACATTTCACAGCTTCTGAAAGTGAACAAGTCAATATTACCTGTGTTTGAGTTCCACTGCTGTTTAACTCACAGGCTTCCTTCTTTCTTCCAGGTATTAACTGCTTCTTTAATGAGTCGAGTTCATCTAAAAGCATTTGTTCTCGTTCTGTATTGATATTTTCACTATCCAGTGTAACACTCTACAATAGACAACATATTGGAATCAATACAAGATGATCAATAAAAAAGGAACCAGACATGTATCTGACAAAAAGTAGATCCTAGAAATCTCACCATGAAACATCTTTTGTCAAGGCTTTACGTTGAACATGCATCAACAGACAAAATACAATTCTGTTGCTTCATTGGTGAATTCAAAACATTGAAATTAATATGCTTCAGAAATGACCTCCTTACTTATTTTCCACCTTTACAGAAAGGTAGTAAATTATTTCATTGAAGCAAAAATGTAGTAGCCTTTCATCCTAATATCAAAGACAGCTACTGAGTTTGTCTGCACGATAACTGGATAGTTTGCTTAAGGTAAATCTATCTGACTACGAAACTGAGAAGTGCTAGGCCACAGTTAGATTTATAAATTCTTCACAGACTTCTTGAGCTGTGAAAACTGGTCATACAGCATATTACAGTGACAAGACAGCTACTCAATTTACCTGTATCAAACAACAAATAATAATGGGGCTTACAATATTACACACATGAAAACTTAATTGTTTGTACAAATTGTATCTATTTTGTTTGAATATGAAAAAAAATATTTTGGGGAAGGTATCTTTATTTAACCTGCAGTTCTAACTCTTCCAAGTCTCAAGACTTACATTACCTCTGCCAATTGTATTTTGAGCTGGCTCAGTTCTGCTAGAAGTTGCTCCTGATTTTCTTTCTGCCACTCCATCTGCTGCATATGACTCTGTTTCAAGGTTTCTGTTGCCTGCTGATGTTCCTCATACTGACGGACAAGCTCTTGACGCATATCTTCCAAACGCTCTTCATACAGTGATATCTGACTTGAAGCTACTATGCTGGAGGTTGGAACTTTGTTTGTAACCTGTAATTTTGGCAAGCATTACAAACTGTATGTAAGATATGTAGGAAATTTCACTTTATGTGAAGTAGTCCTGAGACACATTAGACCGTACAGAAACAGTGAACAGGGAATTACTTGCTAAACATCTCCCTGAACACTTCTACCTAACTGTCTGAGGCACACTGTTAGTTGGGCTAGTTAAGAAAAGGGAAAGAGATGGGGAGAGATTGGACTACACAGAAAAGGCAATGATTACAAGCCTGAACTGCAAATCCACTTGGCCATGGTCACTGCCTTCTGGCAGCAACCACAGGTCTGTGCATCCTGAATCTGCCACCAACAGAGAAGGACCACTCTCAGTGTCCCCTGACATTTTATTTTCTAGTCAAATCCATCTGAACTTAGCATCTTTTAGTTCTCCCAGAACATGCTTAATTATAGCTTGGTAAAGTCTAATGATGGGAAAGGACTTCCATAATTGTGAGATGACCAGGATGAACTGAAATCACTGAATGATGCAGTCCTCTCCAAGCGCTCTTTGCATTGACTTGGCATATGGCAAATATTATGAGAAGGACACTGTAATTCACTGGTATAGTTTTCCATGTACCATTGAGTAATATATTAAGGAACCAATCACAGAGTTTGCAATAGGACACATAGGACAACTGATTCTCAAAAGGAAATATGCAATTTTAAATGCACCCCAATATCTCCAGAGTGCTAGTAAAGATCCCAGGAATACTTACATAATATGTTCCCAGTGACCAACTTTTTTTTAAAAAAAGAGCAGCCCACTATGCTTTGTATTAGACTGAAATCCTGAACACAGTATCTAAGGGTAAGCCCCATTAAACAGTGTTAAACTTATATCTGAAGAACATGTATTTAATTACACTGTTGTTAATATATATTTAATATACATGTTCACTCTTAATATATCTTAATACCACTGTTTATTTTCAGTACTATTTAATTTTTAGCTAATAGTATTTCCAGCCTATTTAGCTAGAAGCATCAGATTTAAAATTCAAAGGCTGAAAAGCATATTTCATCAATAAGAACAGTTATCTTAACAAATCCTACTGAATATATGCCTTTGCTTTTTAGACCCTATTATATGTCATACCAACTGAACAATGAAAGCTGATTAGTAATCGCCACAAGTATAAGTTTTTCCATCCACTGTCAAGCATTATATTTCAAGACAGAATGAGTGGTTTGCTAATTATGCAGTGGAAATAAACAAAATTATCATAAATTACTTAAAGTTATAATTTTCAAAATAACATTTTGGAATATATTTTACTTTACTTACCAGAGATCTGTTGTGCATAAGCTCTTTGTCATTTGAGAAAGGCTCTGTTGGAAACACTGAACCAAAATTGTGTAGTCCAAGTATCTCAGTAGACTTAACATCTGGCTGAAACTGTTTTTCAAGTGATGAAGTTTCACCATATTCTTCACTGATTTCTCTACTAAGTGATTTGAATTCTTCATGCTTCATGCCTTGCTCCTCATTTGTATGGCTAACTAATTCTTCAGGATATTCTTTTCTACTGGAATTATTTTCCTCATGAGTTTGTGTTTGTATCACCAGTGCCATTTTCTCTGCCTCTTTTAGATTAGCAATTCTTGTTAGTTCATTTTTCTGTGCAAACTCTACACTCATAGTTACAACCACCTTAACAAAAAACAGATTGAAACAGAGAAAGGGCCTACTTAGATTTCCATATCAATTACTAAAACATTCCCTGAATAAATGTTCATGTTAAATTATGCTCCAATTATACATCTAAGATCAAGTGTTCAACAAAACAGAATTTAACAATTTACTTTATTGTGACATACAGCATGGACATCAAACACATGTGAAGCAGTATGTAATTATTCTAAAATAAATAAAGATATACAATAAATGTACATGATTTACTATGAATTAGCTAAATGAATGCTGAAATGGTACACTAAGCAATGCACATATGGACTTGCTTATTAGACAAGCTTATCCTCAGAGTACTCAATCGTGAGATGATTAATTCTTACCTTATTTCATATATTATATCAATGGTTTGTGCTAACCATAATTTAGAAGCCAAAGTATGCTTACAAACTTTCACAAAGGACATAATTTACATATTTGCCAACTTTTCTATCTACTCAATACTCTTGCCCTAGAAGCACTGGCCTCCAAAGGTAGGTCATAAACATGCCCTTTAAAATAGATGCTATGCAATATCATACCACAGTTACGGTTCTTTGACCACTGTTTAGCATGGTATCTGAGCTGATTTCTAATATGTTGCCCCAGTAGAATATTACCTTTGCTATTTCTTGTAACAATTTTTCTTCGTACTGTCTTTCCAGGTATTCAACAACACCAACTTCATTGGAGCTCTGTAAGAAATAAGGTTCAATGTTAATAATATAAGTTCGGGATTTTTAAAAAGGTTACTTTTTCATATTTAAACCTATGCATACAGGATGAAAAAAGATGGCTGTGAATTTTAAAAACATAAAAAGCACATCCACTAAAATATCACTTAATCACACTCACTGAACTGGTTTTAAAACCATTTAAAATGTATGCAAGTTTTATATTTGCTTGTGCATTTTTTTGCTGATGATCTGATATCATGAGTATTTTGTTATATGCAGATGCTGGAAAATAATAATAATATTTTATAGTACCTCTACTGCCTTCTCAGACATTTGCTGAAGATCACTTTCATCATGTTTCTTGTTCTGCTTAACTTCATTTACCTGAGGTTCCACAGAAATCCTAAAAAGGTAAATTGAAATACACATCATTACTTGGCTTTTCTTCTGTAAAAATCACTAGAATTTGAAATGCATCAGCCAGGATCAGTATCAAGTACTGCGGTACCTTGGCTCACAAACTTAATCCACCTAGGACTCTGGTCATGACCCATATTGGTCTTGAGCCAAGTCAAATTTTCCCATAAGGTTCAATGTAAATAAGGTGAATCCATTCTGTTACCAAAAAATGTGAAGCAAAGTGACAATAAAAATCAGGGCCATCTCCCCCCTACCCCAAGCACAAGCACAGCCATCTCCCCGCCCCCCCCCCCCAGCATGACCAAGATCGCACCTGTCATCACTGCACATGCCTGTCATCCTGGCATGCTGGGGGGTGGGGGGGAGAGACGGGCGTGATCGCAGGCGCACTGGGGGAGGGAGAGATGGGCGCAAACGGTGCTCTGGGGGTGGGGAGATGGCCTCAATCGCAGTTCCATTCGTGCAGGGAAGGTGTGCCTGATCAGAGGCACGCTCCTGCAGGAAAGACAGACGGAATCTCAGCCACCTCCCCCGCGGCTCTGCTTTGCTGCTCCCATCTTTCCTGCTGCCATGTGCCTCTGATCACGGATGCCTTCCCTGCACGAAAGCAACTGCGATCCTGGCCATCTCCCCACTGGTGGGGGGAGGGTGAGATGGCTGTGCTCTTGGTCGCCACCCAAAGTGGTGTTCGCGACCCAAGTAAAAAAATTTTCAGTAATTTTTGTTCGTGACCCGAGTTGTTCGTGAGCCAAGGCTTTCGTGAGCTGAGGTACCACTGTATATGAAATACTGGTCAGGATTCTTGGAAGATTAACATTAAAAATGTTAAGCCCCGTGGTACAAAACCATCCCATTTAAGAAGAGTAGAGGGGCCATCTAAATCAGATCTGGGAATTCCCAAAATTGCATCCACCTTATAAAAAGCAGGCCTCATACTCTTGGATCACACCTTTGTCTCCAATTAATCAAACTGCCCAGGAATTAACCAAGGAAATCACTTGAACATTTTCCTCCTTCCAATTAAAATAGCACAGCACCGTTCTTCTTCCTTTATGCAACAGCTGTACATAAGCATGAGTGAGATACTACAACATCTGCCCCCACTCTTGAGTACTGCATGTTGTTTCACTACCTTGCTGCAGATGATCACTCGCCCTTTTCTCTCTCTCTCTCCCCCTTTGCGGGTTGAACATTTAATAAATGAAGCAGAAAGACACAGGCTTAATTTTTTTCTGAAGTTGGAAATGTTTTATATTACTCATTTTAAAAATAGGCTAGTTAAAATCAAACATGGCTAAGAACAAATTTATAAATGAATGAAATGAATCAATGGCTGCTTCACAAACAAAATGAATTAAAGACTGTTTATATAAGTGAATAAAGAACCATAAAATATTTGTTTCTCAGGCCAAGCATTATAAATATGCTATGACGGATCATATACTATATTGTTATTATGGCCATGATATTGGAAGTCAGAGAATGCTATCTTGTACTTCATAAGAAGGGTCATACATTTCAATCACCTGGATGATCTGGTATAGTTGTATTGTTTTATGACTTTACAATCTGTTCAGCTCTAAAAATGTTCAATATTTCTCACCATAAAAATTTCCTTTTTCTTTTTTGAAATTATTCTACTCTGTAACTAAATATCAGCTCTTGTTTTTGAAAATTCTCACTACAGACATGTATCTACAAAGACCAATAAGGAAATATTATTAACAACTTTTTTATTATGGAGAGGTGATGAGATTGGGGCAAGACAAACTGGAAGAAAAGCAGCAGAAGTAATACTATACAATTACTTCACGTATATGAAATATTTATTTATTATTTATGTATTTATTAAAACATTTTTATGCCGCCCCATTCGCCGAAGCCTCGGGGCGGCTTACAACAAAAAATTTAAAATAACATTTTAAAATATATACAATAAAATACAAATATACACTATAAAACAAGCCGCCCTGGCCAAATAAAATTCAATAATATTAACATTTAAAATACTGCTTAAATAAAAAGGTCTTCGCCTGGCGCCGAAAAACAAATAACGACGGCGCCAGGCGGACCTCTCTGGCTGCAATATGGCTGCAACTGGGAATTATTGAGAAAGAAACTTCATTCTGCTGAAGATAGCTAGATTGGAAGAGTGATTATGTTTGTCCATGACAGAAAACTTGCTTTAGTTTTCTTTGTTGAGGTCTTGGTCATCAAATGAAGGGGAAAGCAAAAAACACAGATACCTGAAACATTCAGAAGACTTATTGACATCTTGTAGTCTACTCTGTAAATGAACTATTTCCACAGTATATCGTTCCTCAGTTTCTTTCAATTGCTGATGGAAATATGATCGAAGATGCTCAACTTCTTCAGCATGCTGTTTTTCAAGTTGAGATTTAAAGTTTTCTATGTCTTCCCAATGTGGTGACTTAATTTTAAGTTCTGTATAAGAATAAATCACAATCAGGCTAATATACATTCTATGTCAACCATAAAAAAGAGCAATGCTACCAAATTAACATGGAATTTAAAATGGAAATAATAGAATTATTCTTTTATTGGAGAATACCCATTGCAATGTCTTGCACCTACCAAAAATACATTTGCTGCTACAAGGTATAGTATTAGCAGTCACTCGGACACAGAAAAAGGCTTGGGAATATGTTCTCCTAATATGTTCTCAAAAGTAGGATTTAAAATTGCATATAGTCTAAAAAATATTTGTTTGTTTATTAAAAGCTTTTATAGGCCATCCACTACAAGCATCTTGGGATGTCTTATAAGAAGGACATGTACATCATCTTTGTATGTTATGACATTTAGGAATGTTTAGTAACAATAAGATGATTAAAACTGCAAACACTAATTTATGAGGCAGTAGATAATATTCACTCTGAGGTAATTTCTACATGAAAAGATTAAAATGTGTGTTGATTTTAGAATGCAGGAGCTTCTTATTACCAAATTATCAGCTAAATAGCCTATTCAGTACTGAATGGTGAATTTAGTAATTAAGGCACCCCTAATTTTTCAGCTATTAGAACTGGAAATCTAAAAAATGTTTATGAAATTTTATTTTCTGTCAAGATCAAAGAACCTTTAGCAAAGCCTTGTTGACAACAATAAATACAGTTATTTTATGCAAGTTGTATTTTAATGTGATATTGCAAGTGCATCATTGATAAAAATGAAAATTTGATCAAAAAACTTTTCTCTAACGAATTTTTATTAGTACAAAGCCAACACTGTATCCACCTAAAGTAATTCTTAGTGTATAGTTGAAGCATGGGTATTTAACTGGCACCTGAAGGTTTCCTAAATGCTGAAACTGTAGTTCAAAAATATTGTGCAAACATCAAATCTGTAACAAAATTTCTGTTTCTGACATGCATTTAATTTTCAGGGTTGCAAGTACAGTTCCCAGTACCAGAATGGTAACTGTGAACTGAGCCCTCATCAAGATGGATCAGCAATGACAGCACCGGTTCATTCATTCATTGTATTTCTATGCTGTTGAATAGACAAAGCTTGCTGGGTAGTTCTCAAAATCCTAAAAAAATTTAGATAGCTCCTAGTCTAGAACAGTTTGAAACATTCAAAACAATTAACAATAAAACTACCAGAACCTAATGCAAGTCAAAAAAAAGTTGAGGATAATGCTCAGGAAGGCACTGAATCTGGTTCAGATGCATATCCCCTGAAACTATATACAGTGCTATGCAGACTGGGTGTGGGTGTTCAGCTGCAGGGACAGCTTTGTCCTGTGCCTTTGTTCCTCAACCAGCACACACAGTCATCAGAACAAAAGTATACTAAAATGCCCCACTTGGGCAGTCTGATTTTTCTTTTGTTCCCTCACCCAAACCAATCAAACCACTTAGGCAGTCTATTCACGCTACCATATTATCAGCGTGCATAATCCTTCCTTCATCAATTAAATTTTGAAACACACTCTGACAAGGGAGAGGCAGTTCCTTTCAAATTGTCAATCAATGCTGTGCACAGTCTAGATCTGAACAGAAATGGAGGGCTTGCTGAGCAATCAGCAGCATGCAAACCTGGTTTCTGTTCTAGCACAGACTTAAGATTCTTAGATGTCCCAGATGAAAAGTGAAAAGTGTTCTATCCTGGATTCACTGTCAAAATTATGTGCAACCTCAACCTCTTCTTGCTTATGACACCCAACAGTTCATCAGTGCTAATAGAGTTTTTAAAAACCTATCTCCCATCTCAGATAATCAGATCTCAAACAACATCGCCAAATTATGAACAAGTAAAAATAATGAACACATGCTCAGATTATAAACTTTAGAAAATTGAAATGTAAATACCACATGAACGTAAGCCTAAAAAAAGTTATTTTATAATATTTTTATCAACAAATATGATCTAAAGCATGTTTGAAGGTGTTTGTGTACTTCTATTACAGAGAACTCTTAACTTATGTGCTTCTCTTTACCAGCAAGATCTTGCAAAGGTCCAAATAAACATTCTGCATTTTGTTGAAGACTGCCAATGTCTTTCTCCTCATTTTCTGCCAAAGAAGCCATTTGTTCTCCAACCTGGAGAAACAGAGACAAATGGAGAAGAATTTTGTTTACAGATGAGGTTGTCAATATGCAATAACTTTGTCTCATTCACATAATTTTACAAATTCAGATGATGCCCTCAGTATGTAGCCCTCCTGTCATTCCTCTCCGCTTCTTCCATTCTTCTTAACAGAAAAAAATCCATGAAGGAGATAAAATAGCATCGCTGCAGAATAGCTATTGACTGATAGTACAAGAAACCCTGTCTGGAACTGCCAAGGCATACAAATTGTAACTGTAATTGTAACTGTTGTCAATGTTTTACTGTCTTCCTTTCTGCTGAAGTATGTGTAACTATGTATTATGAACGTATTTTCAGCCATTTTGTTTCTGAAAATGTTCTAACACTATATTCATACAATTAATTCTCAACATACTGAGTGGATACAATGGCAGTCAAAGGAAATATTTAGTGTGCATCTGTTTAGTCATGTTACAGTTAGCATGTCAACAGAATTCAATAACTTTTTCCCTCTTAAACTTTAAACATATGAGAAGTTCATGTCTTGAATAGTTATATTTTACTATAATATCTGAACCTCACATAAAACACACTTCATTGTGTTTTCCTCCCAATAAAATGTTTCCATTCCATTATTTCAGACTATTGAGATATTTCTATAAAGCTATTTACATTTACGTGTGAATAAAAAATATCAGATGGAACAGTAAACATACTAAATGAGATCCCAACCTATTTAGGGTATCAGAATTTTTTCCAGTTCAATTCTTTTGGGAAAAATGCATTACGTAAAAGTATTATAAGAATATTATGCTGTGAGTGCCTTTTGCAAAACAATATTATGATCCTTAGACAGCATACATGACCTTCTTGCAGTCAGTTTGTAAAAAACTTGGCTAGGTGCCCTCTGAGGTCAGAAAAGCAGAAAGGGGTGGGAAGGGAGGAGACTGGAAACACCAGAATACAAGAGATCTTGATAGGATTACTCTGATCACTGAGGACACAGCCCTATTAATTTAATGGTTAAATACATTAACCTATGGTTCTATGTTTTTGGTGATCTTTGAAAAATAGATTTTCTTGATTATTATGCTAAGTAATTTTAGAAAAATATTGCAGATTATCAAGAAGACTTTAGAGTTTTATACAGTGGCTTGATGAAGTATGCTTAAAGATAGGAACTATTCATTATCTGATATTTAAAGATTACTATTATACTCTTAACATACAATCCTGTACATGTTTACTCAGATGTAATGCTCATCAAATTAAATTAGGATTATTCCAGTTAAGTGTATAGGAATACAGTCTCAAACTGATTTGATGATCCATATTCTGCAGTCACAGCAGTTACAGATTTAGTTATACTCAAAGCAGAACCATTGAAATCAATGAGACTTATATCTGTCATGAATAAATTGATGGATCCACCCTAAGTATGACCCAAAATGTATCCAACTCAAGGCTAAAATCCTGCAAAACACAAAATCAATTAGTTTTGTGTCACTGTGTTCAAACAGGCTTAATTCCATAAAAATTGTGTTGAGCATCTAAGTAAAAAAATAACTTACCTTTTTATTGTCCTTCACAAATTGTGCATGATATTCCAGTAGCCTGTGGTACACTTCCATTATCTTGTTTAGAAGACTTTGTAGGGTTTCTTGCAAAACTACATTTCAGATAATTAATTCAACAGTTTAATTACACTGAATTATTTAATTAGTGCAGAAATACAATTGCTTTTGTGTTATATTGGGCGAGTTCATGTGACACGACTCTTAAATATAATTCTAAATTAAGCAATGGTGGGTTGTTTTTACCCATAGCTAAGCCATGGTGCCATCACCAGCCAATTGAGTGCTGTGTAGTTTGTTTTTGCAGGTTATAAATTCTTTCCTTTAGCTCTCTCTGGCCACTCTCAGCATGTATCCCTGGAACTTTTGTGGTATCGAAGGGCGGGCAAGGCAGCCTTCTTATCTGTTCTTGTCAGGACAAATATTAATCTTTATTTGCTCTCATAAGTGCTTGTACCATACTAGTGGAATCATTCCTGCCTCTCCCGAGCCACCTGCTTCCCACTGGAACCTTGTGTGAACAGGAAAACATCCAAGCCTCCTTCATTCAGTACCAGAATCTGGGGACCTTGATTGCTGCAGTGGCTGCACATCCCATTTCTTTTACTCTCTCTTCCAACCCCATTCTAATCCATCTATTTGACTTGCCAATGGCAGCACTAAGCCATTAATGTGCCTTTTGTTCACCAATGTTACCTCATTTATTGTGATTTCTTCCCTTCTCTTCTTCCCTTTTATACCCCAAACTTCTGCTTTCCTGCTAGCAACCCTGTGCTAGCTAGTCAACCCTTTTTTGTTCATGTTTAGTCTTTCCTACTGGTGTGACACAATGGACCACAATGTGGTTAGCCATTCTCAACTATCTCAGGGGGGTTGTTGTGTCATCTGATCATAAGCAGCAGGGGTTGTTTGAGGGTTAATCAGTCCTCAAATAACAGTACAACAGACCACAGGCATTTGAAGGTTATTTAACCCTCAAACAAACTCTGCTGCTCAGACTCAGATAACATGAGAAACATGGATCAAATAGGCATTTGTTGCCTATATGCACTGCAGCTCCTTGTAGCTTACATAAACCAATGTGGGCTGCAGTGATTTTCTGAATCATGTCTATGATTAACAACCCTCACACCATCATGTTGCATTCATACCGTTGCTTGCTTTATCATGGGTTGTAGTATCAACACCTACAAATGCAAGTACTGAAATGAGGAGCATTAAGGAAGGCTAAGCCTCAAGTTGGTACTCTTGAACTTAAAACTTGGTATTAGACTATGACCTGCTTTAGAATAATTCTGAAAGTTCCTGCCTTTCAGAATTACTCTAAAGTCAATGAATGGCATTTTATTGAAATGAACCAATCACTTCCCAGAGTGCAGCAAAAAGTGTAATATTCCATTTTGGCTTTTTGAAGTTAATGAAAAACATTTTTTCTTTAATCCATTACATGCATGATATTTCACACAAATGACAGCCTGCTAGGAAAAAATAATTTGATAAACATTGCAGATACTGTAGTGTATCATACCACTGCATGTATCTCTGCAATAATATGAATGAAACTCTTGCTGTTTATGTGCTTGTTCAGTTATTCAATTATTTCTGCACTCTAATGTTATAAATTTAAACGAAGTATTAATTCACTTATCAGTGGCCATGCTGTTAGGAAATCAGACTTTAATCAAACTTTTCTTCCAGCATCCCCTCTTTGCAAGCTGTACTTGCCTGGATCTCCATTTCTTTTACTCAAGCAGCCCTGATGATTTGATTGAAGGGCAGAATCCAGTTGGACTCTTTGTCCTGCTAGTTCCCTTCTGTTAACTGCTGGGTCCCTCCAATTCTGTTGTGCAAGTGCACCAAAGCATTTAGGCAAGGGAGATTCAGCACCTCCTAGAGGAATCTCTGGAACTAGCAGAAATACTTGTTCCTGGAAAAAGGCACTTTGGCAGGGCTCCCTTTATGCAAGTTCCACTGACCTGCCTCATTTTAGAAATAAACTTTTCTACTCATTTTTTGGTTCCTCCAAGAATTGCTAAATCTCTCTTGGTTAAGCAGTGGCCTCTGCTTGTAGTAATGAATCTACAGGGCAAAAGAGAATTGGTAGTGGCATAAATGACCTGTTAGAAGCTGCCCAAAGTATCTCAGTATGGCTCTTCTATTTAGTTTTCTCATTGCACCTCCAGAATTCTTTATTCATTACAGTTTCTAACTGAATGCTCTTCCAATGCATATTATTCCTAAGCTTCCCCATCAGATTTCTTCAGCTTCTTCTTTCTGCCTCCCTTTGCCCACATCTATAATATGGAAGGCATTCAAAACCCATGTATAGGTTTGCACTGTAAGAAATTATATATGCTTCTGAGTTACCTTGAGCTTCTGCATTTGACATTAATATTGTGTTAGATGTTTCTTTCTCACCACCAACTGGTTCAACAGCAGTTGAAAATATTCCAGGTAGAATGCTGCACAGTGCCTAGAACAAACAACAAAAAGGTTTAAGATATCCATACTGTAACTGATTATAGCAAAATAACAGGAAAATTTCAAAGAGATAATTATAGCATCATTAAAGTATCTCTTAAAATTAATCTGAAGATAATCTAGCTTAAGTTTTACATGCAAAGGAAACTTAACATTATTTATTTCTATGCTTCCCAACAGCTGAAGTTTTCTGGGCAGTTCACAACAATTAATCCAAATAGAATAAACCTGATTAAGATGCGAACAGAATTAAGAACATAAAACCTTCAAGTGTCCTCAGAGGACATGCTTCTCACCTGAGTTAGCTTAGAATATTCCTCAGTTACTGTTTTACTAAGTCTTTCTAGCTGCACCCATGTAGACAGTTCTTCTTCATCTGTGAACACAAACCATGCTTGAAATTTGTTTGAGTAAGGTTTCTATCATTTTGAGAAAAGAGACCAATATATGGATATGTTTACCTATTTTATCTGTAGCCATAACAAAACTCAAAACACAAATAGCAGCAATTAGTTAAAAGCTAGGACAAACATTAAAACTCAAAGCAGAAAATTGCAATATTTTATGATCACAAGTATTGTAAAAACTTACTGCTGCCAAACCAAAACTTTCTACTGATATAAAAGTACTGTACCAAACTTAAAATTCCAAAAATATATTTTCACTCTTTTATTTGTTTACCTGTTTTTTTATTTTTTGTGGCCTGAAGATCCATTTGATTTTTCTTAAGTTCAGACAGCTCTTGTGCATGATGGAACTGGAGCTCTTCTGTCAGAGCAGAAAGTGCATTCTTCTTCTCATTTTCCATGGACTCGCGCACTTGGTCCACATGAGCAGAATAAACCAGAGAAAGACAAATGCGCTGGGCTTCCATTTGCAGCTTTAAATCAGTCTGAGTAAAGTTGAACATGAGATTTGTAAAAAAAATAAAATAAAATCTTACCTCCCTCAACAGAGAATAAATGGCTTTAAATGTGGCTACAACCTTCAGCAAATTAACATTTAAAGGTATTTTACTAGGCTGATATATAAGCATGTGAAATAAACAATAAATGGTGAAGAAATGGTGGGCATGTCGTGAGTGGAGCCGGCTGGTGCCGGAGGTCAGAC